CTATTATAGCAGGACTCGAAGAGGTCCTTGATGCTGTACGTAAAGGAAAATCTACTGATAGAAACAGTCGTTAACAGAAAGAACCACATCAGAAACCAATCGTGTTTTTAAGCCCTCCCTAGCAGTGTCCGTGGATGTGGCGATCGTTAGTGCTAGAATAAACTGTATTTGACATACGCTAAAGATTTTCGCATTGAAATAGCTCACGAGATTTCGATAAACTCGCATAGTCGACGTATATAAATATAGTTAAGATCAATTCAGGAAGCGTGGGCTAGTGTTGATCAAAGCAGCATGCGAGCTCTAGGCCTACCAGATACCTAGTGTTCGAATAATCATAAAATGGGTCGTTTTTCTTCTATAGTTTGTAAAATCTTGACTATACTACAGAGTAATGGTCCATGAAATATTGAGGGCTCCTCTCTGCCTAGCAAACGCCGTATTTCATATTAATTTTATACTGCAGAAGAATGATCTTGCATATAAACCTCTGAACATTTGTTTTCCGTGAAAATGTCTACTGCTAACACCATGTATACATTCTTGAGCGTACTGAGCTGTTCGAGGGTTAATCAATGCGCTATAATGGTGTAACAAGTGCAGGCGAACACGCTTTGTGATGTGATAGATCTAGCAAGTCGGGTAATCCACGTATTTTTAGCGAGATCCTTAACCTTTACGTTCAGAGAGGTATATGTAAAACAGCCATACTTTTAACTCGCTCCGCGCCTAACTACATCAAATATAGACAAATCGCAATAGTCATCTTCGGGCAGTTCGTGCGTGCAGCTCAGCCGAACTTCAACGTCCATTGGTGACATCTGCTTTCCTTAAGAGTATCCGGCAAACCGTACAGTAAGACCCGTACGCCGTTAATATTGATGAAACATTGTCGTGTTTGCTTGGCGACTAGGTTTTTCTTTTGTGGAGGCCACAGCCGACGTCATCATCGCTCAAGGAACTAAATCAGTTTCCCGATTAAAGTTATTTGTTAACCAAGCCTTATACGTCTTGTACGGTCAGAGCTGAATGATCGGAGCGCATTCTAAGCACTTACAAATAGTCGGGAACCGTAGCAGTCTAGAACTAAGCGGGCGAACTTAACCTAGTAATCGTAGACACTGTATCAGGGACTTCGCCTTGTGACATGTAAGAAACGTTTGGGCATACATTGTTCTGTCGGAATCGCTGGGCGGGTTTGAGGTTAGGATTAAGAAACAGTAAAGGTTAAAAGGAACATAGGCAAAACATTTGAGAATAATCGAATTCAAAGATTTTTCTACCACTGTCAGGTTTTTAATCGAGTTGATATAATTAGGTTGGATGACAAGTGTGATTTATGGGTCGTCCGAACTCTAAAAAGGCGATTGTTGGTATAAGCTTATCCTGCTTATTACAAGGAATTAGTCCACTGGCTGTACGTCAAGTTATCTGTCTGGCTATACCTCCCATACACTCTCCTGATATGTTTAACAAAACAAATGAATTTCAGCCACACATCATGAAATAACTAAAATGAAAAAAAAAAACTATTGTCATATAATTTACAACACATACATAATACCAATTGCCATTGAACTCTAAAGGACATCGGCCGAATTCTTTTCACTGAGTGCAATGTAAAAATATGTATGTAAACATGCTCTAGCTTATCAATGAAAATAGTGCAATCGGACGGGTAAGAAGGATCCTGGAGAGGTAGTCTAGGCAAGGTTCTCCTTGGAATTTTCTCTGAGACGAGGGATGTGCAGTACCGGTGCATGATGTTTCACAATAACAAAACTAAGTTTGGGATTATCTCTTACGAAAATTCGGCTGCCGTAGGAAGGACGCAGTTCTACAAACCAACTATCCTATCACGTCTACCAAAAATTAATAGCAGTCTATCTTACCTTTGTACCCCTACAATATATCCCTTAAATGTAGGATGGCTGTAAGGAAAATCGTCGAGAAAGCTACTCTATCTAGTACCAGTTCTACGGCCAGCAAATATGCCGTATATGGCCACCTGAAACAACGGCTTTAGCAACAGGCATTTATGACGGTATCAATCGTATAAAGATAATGGGTTTGCCATTTAGGCATAGATCTGAAGAGACCGTTGGATTAACGCCGGCAGCCATCGCTCTGGTCCTGCGTAATTACCTGGCAGCATATGTTGTCTGATTGGTTAAGTGCTACTACATCTTAGAGAAAATAATGACAGTCTATGCGGTCGGCCATCGCCATTTAGTATATCTACCACAGCGTGTACTTTAACCGGTATAATCTCCATTCTTAATAATAGCAGTATATACTCCGTTCGAATTGATTGTTTGCTTGCTCTAGGTGGGGCGCGACCAAGGCAAGCTAAAACTAACCTATCCAACTCCGGGTTCGATTGCGCTACTCAGGCAATTTGGTTTGGATTGCTATGGTATAGCTTTACTATTTGTTTCCCCATGATAAGCGATCGTTAGCCCACATATTCGACCAAACATAGTGTGTCTAGAGGGTGTGCAAGAGGATACACAAGCACGTTATACGAATCTGACTGATAGCTATACCCTTTCCATCCATGCGCGGTATGAGATCATATAACCATCGGCAGCCGCCGTCTTTGCTGCCGAAAACGCTGATCAAAGGGCCTACTCTTGTCTATTATCAGAGATGAACGAGTCGACTCGTATTCGACCGTAGGCGATCATCGCTTTAGCTCCATCAGGCGTTCCCTGTCTCGCCTAGGGCCCTAGTGCATTGAATATATCGGACTAAGGGTAGACTGGAAAAGGCTTAGCCGTCGGGAACTACGAAACTATGCTGCCTTCCTCCTGTGTCCTCCTGTATTCCGATTGCTCTGAGCAGCGGCCGTATGAACAATGATCGGACAGACGAGAATCAAGATCCTCCTCTAAAGCCACGAGACGAACTTCGTGGCGGCCATGACGCCTGCCAGGACGCTCCGATTTTGACAGTAAGTACGGTGTCGGCTGCGAGGATATCGCGTTTGGGATGTCTGGATGGATTAATGCGTTAGATGTTGTGGCTGACGTAACCGTGAGCTCGCTCCATCGTGATAGTCGTCGACGGCTAGATTGCGTTCCATTGTTCAACCATTGCCGAAGTAGTCATTCCCTTTTTGCGGTAGCTGGAGAACGAACAAGTGACTTGGTTGTGGCCTGAGTGAGGCGGCCGGCCAGAGTGTCCGGCACATCAATGCTGATTGCCTCGCTGTGTAGTCCGTCTATTCGGCCTCATTAAAACGTGCTTACGACTAGTGACCGATGGCGGAAACCCAGGCATTAAAGGAGAGGTCCGGCTAGAATAGGCGATTGTATGAGAGATAGTAAAGAGCTCAACTGTGCTGAATGATACGACATCGGGAAAGCTTTGGGACCCGCTTTCTATCCCCTGCCTCATAATCTGCCCACTTCAGATGAATAGCAGGAGATAGAATGAATACGCATAAGCTGTCGTCTCATTTTCTAGACTGCTTGGAGTATACACCAGGGCAGTATATGAGCTCATAGAACGCGCATGGTGCATGTACCCTGTTTCGAGTTACAGGGTCTATGATAAGGAACGCAAATAATAGACATGATTTTATTGGATGCTTATAATAACAAAGGAAATAACTGCTACAATACAGGCATTGAATAGAGACGAGTTGCCGTTTATAAAATGTACAGCACAAGGCGATAGAATTGGTGGGATAGAAGGACCGGAAGCAGAACCGGGTCTTCCACTACACGGTCTCAGTTATCAATTCTCCAGGCGACAGCGGGAGATAGCTTAATATCAGCTCTAGTAGAGTATTGTTCTCATCTCCAGCCTATTTTATGCTACTGGAGCACACTTAGCCAAGGCGTCTTGGCAAAAGGATGACAACGTGGAAATAAGCGCTGGGGAGAACGTAACATACACAAGTTACGTAAGAACGATAGGTGTTATTGCAGAAGCAGTGTCGCTTTAAGAGAGCGCCTCAGGACTCGTCTGGTGGCATTTGGTGTACGCCCAAATAATGTAAGCAGTGTATTTCGCGTCAAATCAGAATTTGGAGTAGCTACAAACGCTCAGTCGGAAGACAAAAAAAAAAGCTCGTTCCAGCAATACACAATAGCTGCACTCGAGAGTTATTTGAAGCTGCTTATTTATCTAGAAGAAACTACGGCTTACTCAAGTTTGATTAAACCTGCTCAAAAAAGATTGACTGAGGACCATATTTTAATTAGTATGTATACGATTCGTATCTTGTAGACGTGAACAACTGAAGGTCATCGATCAAGGAAGATTAGCCGTACTGAAGAGCACGCATAATGCGCACAACAGTGGGTCTCAGGTAGATTTTGAAACAAACACGAGGAAGAGTGAGTGAAACGTCATGGTAAAGATTCATTGCTTTTGTCATGACACAATAATAACAATAAGGGCTCGTCCAGTAATTAAGTTGTATCTAAAAGATTTTTTTTTTTTTTGTTTTTATGTATAATAATAAATGTAGAAAAATATTTCCTAGGTATCATAGCGATTCTCCTTGTTTTAGTATTGAGTTTTTCCTTAATTGGGGTTCGTTCATCGTTAAAGATCCCTGAAATCTTTGGCATCCATTTTCCGCTGAACTCCGTGGGAGGTAGAAATGCTATATTTTTTTCATTTGATTTTTAACCCTTAGCTATCGCGCAGATGTCATGAAGAAATAGTATTTTTTTGTCAATTACTATAAATAAATGCGGCGAGGACGTTGCAAAAGTACCATCCGTATAAGCAAAAAGCTATTTCAGGCTATATTAAATTCTAATTTTAGTGCACAACTCACAGCTCCGAGAAGTCAACAGGTACTATATCAGCTTTTGCTTATTGAAGCCGTATGACTGTTTGTTTTTTTGTCTCCTATAGAATTCGTGTATACATTTTACCTTATACTCACTTATTGGTTTTTTTCGTATCATATTCAATGAAGTTAAACAGAAAGAAACCTTACATTATAATATCTTCATATGAATTTTGTTGTCCTATTCCAGGTTGTATATTAATAGCTGCAACTGTAGTCAAAGAACCGATGTAATCCTGACATCGAGAAGCCACATGAAGCGCGTTCGGCTGCGGTTGAGCGCTTCTGCGAAGCCACCGCATGAAGCCCACTAACAACAGGTAGTAAAAAACGTTAGACTGACAATTTCTACGCTTCAGCCAGCCAAAGCAATCCGAGCCAGGCGAATGAGGGCATGTTGTGAAGACTTTTCCGACAGGGCAATGCGCATATATAATTTGTGAGCGAGCAAAATGGCAACGAAGCTTACGCTGTTCCTAGCTTGTCTGGTCCTTGATTTCAAGCTGCACGTACGTGTAAAGGCAATACAATGCAGATAAAAACCGGATATGAACGAATGATGGTTTCATTCCCACAATAGGTTCGGGCAGTATCCGACGAAGTAACACGCGATGGCTAACGTACACCAAAGCTGAAGGTCCTTTATGAGCACTGGCGTGCTTGGTATACTATGCGCCAGCTCCCTGTAATTGGTATCATTCAGTAGTTGGCCTCAATCTGCGAAGCGGCTTTCCCAATCAAACGTGATGTCATCAGCATATGGGCACTGGCAACACTTTTCTACGAAAGTACCTCCTATACTCGCCGCAGCTCCTGTTCTGAACGCGTCCGTTCGGCCTTACCGCATTGAAGCTCACGCAGACATTAAAGCCTCACACAAGTTGCTTTTCGTTAGCAGCTACACACATGTGGATATGACGACCTTCATACGTATCTCTTAGAGGAAGCTAGACTCTTCCAATGCTACTCGAGATAGAATTCTGTGCGCAATGACGATTTGCTGCGGTTTCCTAGCAATGAGAAAGGAAATTTGTGGATCCGTCGCAACAAAAAAGAATCAACGCGCTGAACGGGAAACGTCTATAACCCTCGTCCCGGAATAGGGTTCTCTCTGAGAAAGTCACTCACTTCCATCCCAATGGCCAGGTATCTGTTGCAAACGTAGTGCTATGGCAAATGGGGCATAATTGCACCGTGGGCAGGTGACTAACCAGCCCATAGGGTGTTTAATCAACTACGAAAAACAAGCAAAAGCGAACCAATAAAGGATTCACTGTAATAGGCGCAAACATTTATGACGTAATACTGCCTAACGCGTGGCTATCCGCTCTCTATTCAGAATAGTCTGAGAGCGGCAATCAAGGACTTTAACGGATTCTCAGTCTGCTAGAGCTTCCAAATAAACAGGAGATACCTCTAAATCGTGACGGGCTAAGGCGGAAAAGGTGCTCTTTAAAGCGAAATGCTTTAGCCTGCAAGAAAAGGGAATGACTTAGCGTTAGGTTAAGATAAACTACCGTAGCTAGTAAGGAAACTTACACGCGTGCGAACGCATACACGGGCTCTATAGTTAAAGTGGGCTATAAATTGTGTGCAACAATAGAAGGGCACCCATAGAGGAAAAGAACGTATAGGTGTTGGGATTTCCGTCTCCCTAACCAGAAATGGGCTTAAACAAGGGCATGCAAGTGAAGTGCATGCAAAAAGAACAACAATCCAAATCATTGGCACAAACACGGCGATAACTATCGTCGCTAGAGGGCACCTTTGTGTACTTGCCGAAGTTTCGAGAAACGGTGAGCGAGCGCGCGCGGGCTAAAGGGACGGTGGCGGACACAGATTACCGCCGCATGTGGCGCTAGCGCTCAGCATCTATATGTCGACGAGGGTCTAGAGTGACTGCAGAATCGTACTGAAAGGCTAGCAGCGTTAGTCCTAGTTGTCTGACGGCTGCTCTAACTCCCAAAAGCGAGTCATGAATGCTAAGTGCGCCTACGTACAGCTTGTGCATTGGATTCGGTTTCTCTGAAATCCAACACTATAAGCATAGCTGCGGCATTGCTGACGGTGGCCGCCACCACCACCGAGATAGTGAGAGATTCTCAAAGTAAGCTTATACAAGTAACGTTAGGGCATTGATGGAGTTGCGGGGCGGTGGGGTGGAGGCACTTAGAGACACGCCGAATCGCTCTTGACCTGGTAACGCTACGTTTACTGTTGTCGTACAATTCAGCTATTATGATAGGTTTGGTGCCAGATGGTGGCTCTACCACGGGCTTTATACAACACCGCAATCGATGCACAGTTAGGATAGTATTGGATTAGATTGCGTAGGAAACTTGCGCGATGGGACAAGAGACCACTTAATGCGGAAATGCCTTTATCAAGCCCACGGGAGTAGTCTTCGATGTTGACGGCGCTTCGGATACCGCATGGCAGTAGCTTCGCAAGGCTAGATAGTTATACTGATGAAGAGGAAGATGAAAAGCTCAATGAAGGTCCGAAAGAGGAATTTAAATGCTGCAAGTTTTAGCTAACTAGAGGTACGAGAAATACATTTCTCTATAAACACGACACCATCCAAGGATACAAAGTTTGTCACAATCTATTGGTGCGGTGACTGTCTTTTCGACCCGGAACGTGGATGACGGACAAATTGTCGAACCGTAGAGTGGATTTAATGGCAGTATTAATACGTTAGTAATAATGCTACATTGTCTTGCCGGTTTGCGTAGAAACAAGATTCAAATGTGTGCGGGTTAATTCAATGATTCACAAGAAAACAGATTAGCATTTCTCAGCCACTGGTGGTTCACCTATCAGTATAAGTTCTTTCGCATCTGCTCGATAATGTCCCGACAACCTGCCTTCGTATGCTCAAAGAGTGGCTCGCACAAAACCGTTTACTTTCTGAACAAACTTCGTGCAGTCGTATGCGATAACAGGTAATATATTAAAATGGAGTTGCCAGTTTTTCCCTAACTCGCATTTACAAACAAGTTTCTCTGTTTGCTGCGTTTGCTTCAATCGTCTGCTCACAAAAAGCCCGGTTACGTTAGTCCTAAGCTTTTCAGGTTGCACTGGGAATCTACTTAGAAATAAACACCTGTGTTACACACAAAATCACTCCAGGAGTTTTAGATTAATATTCTAAAATTCCAGTCAGCGACAACGAGCTAGAGTCAACAGGACTTTGACATCGAATTGCAAAATTAGACATCCCTTGGAGGTATACGGAACGGTTTTATGTTAGACGAAACCATAATTTGTGATGTGTTACCGTGTTAGCAGTGTCATTTTTAATCTTTAAAAAACTCTTAATGTTGACAATTAGCGTTAAATAAGGGAAACTAGGCTACGTTTTCAAATTTTTAGACAAAAAAAAAGAGTGAGGTACAGAAAACGCTTCTCAAAGGACAACGCAGTTTAAGAACTATAAACCTACATTCATTTTAGATCTGAATATGTCTACACGTTTGGCAGGAAGCGCGCCTGTGATATACACTCAAGTATTTATGGCTATGTTTTTCTCTTATGCGTAAGGTTTTCGTCGATCAGGCATTTGCCCTTTTGGTGCATTTACCTTTCTTTATATATGTGTATTTATATAAAACATATTCACACACAGTAGCTATTCGCAACGACACACAGGGGCTTTCTTCATGTCACGATTCGTCACCGACTCTTATGTTGCCCTACAGGTTGCTCCTGCATGCTTTATATCTATCTTTTTGTATTGCTGTTTTGATTTGTGGGGCGTTATAGCTAGGCTACTTGATGGTGGGTCGTTTCTTCTTTCTTTCTTTCTCGGTCGTAACATTGCTTGCTGCTAACAAAAACAGCGTCCAACGCTTCACTCACACTCCAATCAACATAAACCGATGCTCGCATACACAGAAAATTATATTTTTACCGGCAATGCCGTCTCGACCCAACAAACTCGTATGGAGTTTTATGCATTGTCAATCCCACAATAAATGGTTCGGGGCCTACCACTGGTGATAGCCTCAAAGACCAAAGCGTGCGTGTCTCTCTCACTACATCAACTCGATCAATGCCACCCTTGTGATAAGTTTTCGTGATTGCGTCAACAACTCAACGCGACCTACTCCACCGTCTATACAACGTATGTGCTGCCAAGTCCCAGGCAATTCAGCTGTTGTCGGCCTCATACTAACTATACTATATACGCGCTTGCAGGGTACGTGTGTGTAAAGTAAGTCAACTTTCAATCAAAAGAATAAAGAAGGTTGAGGTGGGTACCAAGGGAGATTCTTGAGACCAAAGGCGGTGCTTAGGTAACCCCCCGGGTATCAAATTCAGGGCTGAAATCCTGCTGAAAATGCCGTTCATACTATAAACCTGTACGGCTTGTAAGGGGTTGTCCCTAGTTGTTCGGTGTTGTATGTATATAGAAAGTCGTTGAAGCTGTGGGGTAAACTAACTAGGCTGGATTGCGGGACATCCGGGCACCAGATTAAAATGTGGATAGGAAACGCTGGCAGCTTCAACAGTGATGTACTGGATGGCTTTTGCAACTTTCGTACCATCGAGAGGAGCAAGTCATGATGCCGGATAAGCCAGTTTGTTGGGTAAAGTAACGGAAGCTTCCGAGAGAGCAAAGGCATTAGTCAGACAGCGGAGTTCCTTTTCGAAAGTGAACGTCCTCTGGACGCGGGTGGAGTGCACGAAGTGCGCAATGGTGCGATGTAAACTAGACGCCGCGAATAATCTTCGCAATCTGAGGACGCGCTGTGTTCTCCGGATGACCGGGAAGGGAAAGGGGCAAGAAAGTAGGAAACGACTCAAAATACATTCACCTATGCTGAACCAACTTCCCCTTTCCTATCTGTCCGCCTGTCAAGTTCGCTACCGACCGTCCCGAAACGTCGTTCATCCCCGCAGGAATTGGAACGACCGTGTGCTAACCAGTGTCTTGTCAAATCGCGTCCCTCTAACTGCCTCGGCTAGATCTCGTTACCTTAGAGCAAACTCCTTGCCAACCAGCAGACGGCTCGACACCAACTAACTGATCGAAAGCGCGCCGGCCTAAAATAGGACGACGGAGTAGGAGCGAGAATACTAATCTTTAAAGTAAACACTCAACAAAATATCTGAGCCCTATTGCGACAATGCTCGCGTAAGCCTCAGAAGATGAAGCTGGATAAACGAAATAACATGCTTATACTCGGATGCACATGGATTCAACGAGGTAGTTTCCTGACCGCACTCATTTCTTCTGAATAAGGAATATGGTATACGACATTGGAACGCTGTTGTGCGCGAAAAGCGCAGAATCCGGAGGGAGCAATGGGGAAATCCAGGAAGGGACACGACAAAGATTTCGAATGCCTTGTCCACAGACCAAAGTTTAGCTAGACAACAGTACTGCGGAGTCCTTTAGCCAAATATTTAGTTAGGTCATTAAAGTATATTGTTTACATTATCTTCCTTGTATAGTCAGATCTGTTGTTATGATTGCTTACTATAATAAAGTGGTCTGCCATGCGTTCTAGCTATACAAACGTTTTTTTTTTTTTGTAATGCCATTCAGTACATATAGAGTACTGGTACAAAATTTCCGTCGGTTCTTGTCGATCTTTCCATTTCTCTGTCATTAAAGTAGGATTTTTTTTTCAAATACTTAATTTCAAAGCAAGGTGGGTCACATCTAGAGTGTCCTATGCATTTCAGGGATTCACTAGCTCGTTATGTTTTTTCAAAGCAGGTTTCTCAAAGCAGCGGATATCTATAATATTTTTCATGCAGAATTTGCCTCTCTTTATAAACTTCCATGACATCTGTCTTATTTATTTCTATTGGAGTTTCCAATATATCTATCAGTTCGTTTTGCTATCATCATATGTGCATTTCTTTCAGTTCGCTAGCCCGTTGTTCCCGTACAGAAGACACTGCACAGAAACATCTCAGTTTAAATATCGCGTATATATCTTGACAAAAAATGTCCTTTTTACTTCAGTCGATAACCATGGAAAATCTCGAAACTTGACTGATTTGGGCAGTCGCAAAATCAGCCGATTGAAGAGCCAGCTCACTGAATGGATACCTTTTTCTGCCTTAGTCAGAGTATATATTAAAAAAAACAAGAAGTCTTGGGGTAAGAATAACTGCTGACTGCTTGTACCGGGATTTTAGGAGATGAAATGTGATTTATGCTTCGTCGTTTTAATGTGAGCTTCCCTGGAGCCTCTTCGTGTCGGCAGCACTTCGACTGTAATCTTCCTAAAATAGGGACGGCTCGAAACGTTGATGGCAGAGCTGTTGGGAGTCACCACAAAAATAGCGAAAGATTTTCGCCACACCTTCACTACGGTAGCAGCTAGTGAGTGTGCATCGCCTCTCCCAAGCAATACGAACCGTCTGAAGCCCTAGGGAACACCAGACTATAGCTGATAACGTTCACTAGAGCCAGCAATAACTGGCTAGATGGTGAATGGACGGATCGCAAAACATGCTGTCAATGATACCTAATGCTGGATAAGCAGCTCGAAAAAAAAAGGTAGCATAAGATGATGACTATAAACTCTCCATGATGATTTGACGTAGATTAGTCTAGAAAGAAGGCAAAACCAAAGAGAAAATTAGACGATCTTCAAATCTCATTAGGCCAAAACATTGCTTACAGGATCCATAGCTTGTCTAACTAGCAACATTTAAGGGAACTTTCAGCAACACCATAAATCTCTAGCTAACAAGCCTCAGCCAGCTTGTCGTGTATGCTGTAACGTCCTGTAACATGGGTAGAAGTTCTCTATTCAAATTGATAGCCGGTTCAAAAATAGTCACAGACAGTCGACAGATGGATAATAAGTATTTATTTAGCCGTACTAATTCGTTTCATTCGAAGTAACCTTCACCAGATGCACCACACTTATATGGCCGATTTCTCCAATGCTCACAGCATTTTTCAAACCCTATCGCCGGGACAGCGCTCAACTCGGTTAGTAATTTTTCTTTTACCGCGCGAAAACACGTCTTTTAAGATTTTTATCTAGTTTTGGGATGAGGTAAAGGGCTAGGGCCGCCCGTGAAGACGGCGGTTGGACTAACACATATATCGAGTTTTTAGTAAAAACCACTGTGGGCCAGTGCGTTGTCGTGATGAAGGACCCCGGCCTTTTTGTGTAAGAGTTCTGGCCTGTTGCGTTAGACACACTCGCGCAATCTTCTTAAAACTTTTTAATAGTGCATCTTGGTGACCGCGGAGCCGAACCGTACAAACTCATGATAAACGATTCCCAGACGCTTGCAGAAAACCGTGAGCAGCGTCATGGTCTCGTTCATGATTGCTATCACAGCTTTTCGAAGTATCGTTTTCGATGGACCTCTGCGCATCCTCGAAACGCTTGAGGTACTGTTCGCTTAAGCGTCACTTATCTGCAAGCCTCGCAGAGTGGCTGTGGGTATAATGTTATTTTTTACTTGTTATGTATTTTAGCTTTCTCTCAGAAGTAGTAAAGTACGCTGGTTGCTGCTTTTAGAAAAAAAATCACACAACACTCAACATATAGACCAAATCTCAATGGAAAACTCGTGAAAAGGATACATATGTACACATGGAAGTATATACATCGGATAAGACAATGTAATGACGCCAATTTAGTAATATTTAATTCAGACGCAGATAGCGCCGGCGCAAAATGGTTTATTTCACAGTATGTTCCTAAGTAACAATAGCGACAGACGTATTTAGGGTTAAATATATTATTGGCACGTGCCCTAACACTCGGCCACGCTATTTACATACGTTTCCCAATATACAGCTTAGTTAGCTTAGTGAACTCTTCGTGCCCAAGCCGAATCTTTTATCTTGGCTGCCTAGACGATCTCCGTTGACGCTTGAGCGCATGCACCCCGACGATCTCCAACGGATCGTCGAAATGCACGTTTGTGGCCCCTAGGTTTCGGACTTCAGCAACTTAGACACCAAGCCTTGATATGTGGGCGTATGCCGGGGCTTCGGTGACCGCTGAACAGTTTATTGAATGCCTGCATGCCTACCTATTTTTCATCTGTCCTTCGACATGATCGTGGCGTCGCTTAGGCTCACGTGATTCGCTGTGTTTCCCACAAGGGCCCGCCCATTGCACTCTTCTAG